CAAGCAAATCAGAAAGACAAGATATAATTGACAGAATTTACCACATTTTATATAAACTTCACTTGAGGAAAATATCAGTATATTTCGTTTGGATCCCAGCACATGTGGGAGTGGAAGGCAATGAAGGTGCAGACATTCTTGCAAAACAGGCATTAAAATCTAAAGATATAAACTATAAAATTCCATTAAGTAAAGCTGAATGTAAAATGATAATAAATAGATATGTTGGGAAGGTCTGGCAGGAAAATTGGGACATAAATGATACAGGACGACATTTATATAACATTCAGAAAAAGGTAGGATGTACAAAGAAAGCAGGAAGGAATAAGAAACTAGAAACAATAATGATCATCGTATCAGACCGTATCAGAATAGGACATACAGGTCTCAATAAATCACTAAAAGTAATAGGAAAACATGCAACGGGACAATGCGACAAATGTAATCTCCCTGAAACAGTACAACATGTTTTTATGGAATGTACTGGATATGAATTCGAAAGAAGAACTTTCCAAAAAGAAATGGATAAAATGAACATAAAATTTACAATTAATAACATTTTTAGTAGTGATGATAATAAAGTCAAAAATCAAATTATTATTTTCTTGAAACGAACAAATTTAATAGATAGAATTTAGATGAGGTATAAAGGTTAAGTTATTTCTCAGAATTTTTTTTTTTTGTTGCCTGTATATCTCCTGCTCACACTCCAGCTCAGTAGGTGGCGGTAATGCACCTAACAGTTGGTATGCCAACCGCCATAAAACAATACTAGAAGAAGAAGAAGAAGAAGAGCCGTAGAATCAGAGCTCCACTCGGGAGCTGCTGGGATGTTAATTAGTGCTCGGTATGCTCATCATGCAAAGGTTATATGTCACGAAGGACAGGAGCCGCCGAGGGTGACAACATGCGAGACGTGTAGCTGCGCGAAGACGGACTAAAAAACCCAAACCCCTTCTCGGTTTCGAGCCCGTTTGGCTGCAGCAGGTTGCCAAACAATGGACGCAAGTTTGGTGTTTCCGCAGACAGCGGCGGCGCGCGCGCTGGCTCCTCTCGGCAGCAAAGTGGCTTCATGAGTGTCCAAAGTAACAGTGGAAGTGGTGGTGGAAGTTTGGAGGCGCCGCCATCTTGGTCGCAGCTCTCCTCGTCCCCGACAATTTCTCAACAACAAGCAGCGGTGACCGCCAAGACCAGGGAAGGTACGGCAGCTCCGCCGAGGGCTCGACCCGCTCCGGTTTTGATAAAAACAGAATAAACATCTTTAACACGAGCGGAGGTTTTCGTGGCGGAGTCGAGCCGATGTTTGTCGAAATAAAAAAAAAAATGAATATCAAGTTCACGGAAGCCGAACGTCAGCTGTCACTTGGCAGCTAGCTTCATGTTTCTCCAGACGGCTGCTTTTGAGCGGCTGCCATGTTGAAAAGGCTCCTTCATGACAGGATAGTGTTTTTGTTCCAGATAAACAGCACCCTAATGTCTTAAGCAGCGCTCGTCCCTGCAAGTTTAAACTTACAAAGCTGGCCGGAAGTGTTACTTTTTAACCAGTTTTCACGCGTCTGATTAATTTCTTGCTCTGCGTGTTGTTGGTGACACAATTCACACAGTGGTGTATGTGGTCCTGGTTGGGTAATTTATGGTGACAAGTTGTTTCCAACCTAAAATCTGCCTTACTAAGATAAAAATGCCCCCCCGTGATGCTCCGGCTGCAGATGCATAAATTCATCCAAATGAAATTGTTAATTTGTCCTATAATAACCCCTGGACGTGCTCACTCTCCTGCTCCAGGGTTTCATAATCTCCATTCTGCCTTTTAAGGCCTGCCCCAGTGCCAGAAGCTGTGCAAAGATGACAGCCAGGAAATGTCCAATAGGGAAACAAACGCAACAGAAAGCAGAGGACCGACACTCCCGCACTTTTGGAAAACTAGTTGTGTAACAACACAAGACAACACGCATGTAATTTTCCACTTATGCCCATCTGATTTACAGCTGCCAACAAGGCTGGTGGAATATCTTGATTTAAACCAAAAAAGTCCATGCTCAATAATCCAGGTATACAATCCAACAATTTTCAATCAGGTCATCTGGACAGTTTCTTTTTTTGCTGAAACGTTTCACCTTCCATCTGGAAGGCTTCATCAGGCAAGGAAACACAACACAAAACTGATTCTCCCCCCAAACAGCTTACTCCAAAGTGGAACAAACCAGTTATGTTGAAAATTGTTTGATTGTATACCTGGATTATTGAGCATGGACTTTTTTTGGTTTTGAACCAGTTTGACATGACTGTCAACAAGGAAGAGGGCTGGCACAAGAGGAGGGGGCGTTCCAAAGATGCCATCTTAGCACCAATATTACTGGTTTGTTCCACTTTGGAGTAAGCTTTTAGGGGGAAGAGTCAGTTTTGTGTTGTGTGTTTCCTTGACTGATGACGCCTTCCAGATGGAAGGTGAAACGTTTCAGCAAAAAAAGAAACTGTCCAGATGACCTGACTGAAAATTGTTGGATCTTGATTTAAAGGTAAAGCCGGGCTTTTTCTTAATCTCAGAACATGGGTTTCCACATGCAGACGTGGGGTTTCATTATTTCTGCCTGTTTTTGACAGGCCAGACATTTGAATGTTGCTATTCATTGTTAAAGATCTGGTAAATCTTGAAGTGTCACTTCTAAGTACTTAGGCTTCATGCCACACAGCGGAGACATGCACGTCATGCTAAAGGTTACTGTGACAGCCTGACAAAAACATCGGTTAGGCTTGTGTGGAAAAACTGGAAAGCTTACTTTATTTATCCTGACTTCCCAGTGGTACCTTTCTTTTAAAGGTTATTGTCATTATTGTTATATTTCATTCATGTCTGTGTTGCAGTTTTCTCATTGTGGTAGTTCTGCCTTCACTGTCCTATGTAAAAACAGCTGTGTCTTCGTGCCAGTTCCCATGGAGGAGCTGCACAGCCTAGACCCCAGGAGACAGGAGCTGCTGGAGGCCAGGTTCACAGGAGCTGTCAGCGGCAATACGGGAGGCAGCACTGGGAGCACCAGTGGAGGTGCAAAGGTAAGAGCAGTACCTCCATGCTGAAATGTGACACAAACACAAAAATCCTGGAGTTATCACTTTTCTCATAAAAAGAGCTGCTACGTGGTTTCTATTTCTGTAAGAGGTTAAAACCCTGAGGCGCTTTGACAATAGAAACAATGAGTGCATGCTCGTTTCTGGTCTTAAAGCAACACAGGTCAGAACAGTCCATCGTCACAAACTGTGCTGATAATCCAAGCTCTGGTTCTGATGGTGGAAAAGCAGGTTAAAATTTCCTTCCTTCCTATAAAGGACTTGCAGTTCTTGGAAATTCATCCATCCATCCATGAATCCATCCATTATGTTTTACCCGCTTCTTCCATTTTGGGTCACGGGGGTCACCGGTGCCCATGTCCAACAATCACTGTGTGAGGGGTGGGGTACACCCTGGACAGGTCGCAAGTCCATCACAGGGACACATAGAGACAAACAACCATTCACTCTCTCACTCACACCTAGGGACAATTTAGAGTTACCAATCAGCCTAACATGCATGTTTTTGGTCTGTGGGAAGAAAACGGAGTACCCGAAGAAAACCCACGCATGCACAGAGAGAACATGCAAACTCCTCCCAGAAAGGCCCCCGGACCGGGATTTGAATCAGGGACCTGCTCGCTGAGAGGCAGCAGCTCTACCAGTTTTGCCACCGTGCTGCCCGTTCTTGGAAAATATAAGTTGGAAAAAAGCCAGGTGACACACCTAACAACTATGAATCTGCATTCCTGTCAGGCGTGGCAGTCGGGAGGTCCGGCGCTGGTTTATCTGAGTAAATTTCGTAAAGTCAGTGGCCTTACACAGCACACCTGAACTGTCTGTTCCCCTGCTGCGTTTGTTGATCCCCGGCGTTGCCAAGCTGCTGCTTCTTTCAGCTTTTCCCTCTTCATCCTCTGTCCTCACTCCAACTACCTCCATATCCTCTCTTAACTACATCCATATGTCTCCTCTTTGTCTTTTTCCTGGCAGCTGCATTTCTAACATCCTTCTACCAATATACCCACAGTCCCTCCTCTGGACATGTCCAAACCATCTCAGTCTGGCCTCTCTAACTTTATCTCCCAGTTGTTCAACCTGTGCTGTACCTCTGATGATCTCATTCCTAATTTTAGCCATCCTTGTCACTCCTAAGGAGAACCTCAACATCTTCATTTCTGCCACTTCCAGGTCTGTCTTCTGTCTTTTTGTCCATGTCTCTGTCTCCAGACCATACAACATAGCTGGTCTCACCACTGTCTTGTAAACTTTTCCTTTGATCTTTGCTGACACCCGTTTGTCACGAATCATTCCTGAAACATTTCTCTATCCACTCCATCCTTCCTGAACTCTTTTTCACCTCTTTACCACACTCTCCATTTTCTTGGACAGTGGACCCCAATTACTTTGAAGTCCTGCACCTTTGTGACCTCTGCTCCCTGTTAGGGCTTTAACAGACTACTCGAGTAATCTCCACATCGAATCCTAGGCCATCTATCGAGTTTTTTAATTTCACGTTGAGTATTCGTGGTGATGTCATTACGTCGCCGTTATGTCATTGCGTCACGTGTCACATGATCCACACCGGGCGCGGGCTACAAAATGGATTCCTCCAAGCAGACAGATGGAGCGGAGCAGGCTCAGTCTTGGCAAACGGGTAGAAATGCATCAATAGTATGGAAATATTTCATACACAATATTACTCTGTTTGTATGTATATATATATATAAATATGTATATATATATATAAATATATATATATA